AGCTCACTGGAAGGATTTGGCACAGTTACTTGGGTGGGGCTGGGCAGCAGCCACCTTGCATTTCTGTGTCTTTGTCAAACCAGACTAAACCCAGAAAAACAGAAGTTTAAGACTTGACCACACAAAATCCCAGTAACCAATAATGCTCAAGAGTAAGTCAAATACTCCTTCTTCTCACGTACTTATCCAACCAAAAATCTTCAGATTTGGGACTCTTCCCAATATATCTCTACCCAAAATCTTCACAATAGGTTTTTGTGCTCCTGTGTATGATCTTACAGCAGCATGGGAGAGGACAGATCACAGATCCAGGAGATCAAAGAACCATGGAATGTCTCAAGTTGGAAGGGACCATAAGGGTGATTGAGTCGATGCTAATCCATATGACACTATCAAACAGCTGCACCACTTTTTTAGAATTATTGTGTGAAATCTTTAGGAATAAAGACCATGAATTTAAAAAAATTTGGGCCATCAGCACTGTGAACTCATAAATTATGTGGGTTTTTTTAATCTGGTAATTTGCATTCTTTTCAACATTCGATCCTCCAGATAAAATTTAGGTGTTTTGTTGTGCATTTTGGCTTTATCAGAAGGGAAAGGATGAGGTCCCTGACAGGAGGCAAGAAAAGGTTCCTGGTAACTTTTGCTACAGCATGCTCAGAAAGATATATTTCTAATTCCTTTGACATTATGTATCAGTATAACAACTTCCCCAAAGGCTTTGACCTCTGCTTGTCTGTTAACACTGTGCACATGAAAATGTAATTGTATAAATACACGGGGGGGAGGGGGTGTACACAAACACATGAATTTACAAACATAATGCATTTTTTTTAAAAAAAGCTCCCTTTATAATAGATTTTCCAGCTAATTAATTCTTCAGGCTAACACTGAGTTTGGTACATTACAAAAATATATGTCCTTATTATTTATGAGAACTCAGCAAGACCCAAATTAAGGGGGAGAACTCTTCAGACGTGATGAGAACTGAACCTGCTCTGCTTGGGGAATGAAGGATAAAATGAATTATTATCTTTAAACCAGCTTTAAGGACCAGGCTTTTACCCTGCCAGTCTCAGCTCTGTATAGAGTTAGGCTGAGATTTCTTTCTGAGAGCAAGCTAAGGATGGAAGGCACTGGTGTCCTGAGGGGAAGCAGACAGGACACCAAATTGCTGTTGCTGGGCACAAATTTGCAGGATGTTTGCACTCTGAAAAAGCTCTTTTTTACTTCCCACAGACACAAGAACACCCTGTGAATGGTTCAAGGCCAGGTTGGATGGGGCCTGGAGCAATCTGGTCTAGTGGAAGGTGTCCCTGCCCATGGCAGGGAGTGGAACAAGATGAGCTTTAAGGTCCTTTCCAACCCAAACCAGTCTGTGATTCTCTGCTGTGTTCCAGGTTCCAGGTCCTGCCCTCTCTGAACCTGCCCAGGAAGCACAACCAAAAGTTCCTGCTGTGATAAACCTGATGTTTGGCTTAGAAGAAAAATCTCAGCAAGTCAGTGACAAAGTGTTTTCCTGTGGGATTTGGCAAACCAGCAAGGAGCAGGCTCTGCACAGCCCAGAGCTCTGGGATGAGCTGCAGCCCTGCCTCAGACCTGTCTTAGCCGTCCTTCAGCACCAGCAACGTTCCTCCTGCCCCAGGGCCTCCATCTCATCCCGTCTCAGCCATAAATTCAGACTGACATTGTCATTTCTGTGCATTTCAGTCTGGAACAGCTCCTGAGACAGCGAAGCAGAAACACCAGGCCAGAAGACACCCTAAGCTTTTATATAAATTGACAATTATTAACCCACTGGAAATCTCTTCATTATTGCTGAGCCCAATCTGGGTCTTCACCGAGAAAAAGAAATCCACAGGATTTACAGCACAGTGAAAGGGAGTAAAAGCTTTTGAGTCAATTCTCTGTGCCTTCCCAGCAATGCCTTTGCTCAGTGGGAGTCTCCTTGATGGCCTGAATTTCCCCTACACTTCACTTTAAACAAAGATGTTTGGGGTCACCCTGCACAGCAAAGATTTGCCAATTAGCATTCTAATGATGCAGCTCATTAGGGCCCCTGTGAGGGAAGTAATTTCCAGCCCCTTCCAGAAAGCAGGAGCTCACACACACGGGGTTGCTGATGAAGCCTCACAGGGAATTTCAGCTCCAGTAGCTCTTCATCTCCCCTGTGGATCCTCCCTGGAAGGATGTGCTGCTGACCTCGAAAAAACCCCAGGCACGGCTGACAGCTGGAGTACACCAGGAGCGGAGAACAATTCGATTATTGTTCGGCAGATCAATATATAATGTGATTTAAAGAAAAGGAATTTTCTACAAAACAGAGGCTCACAGGGACAGAGCCCCCACCAATGCTGGAGGTGACCCCCCTGACCTCTGTGGGAAATGCCCCCCATCCCACTGCACCTGGTATCTGTGGTCAAAATCATGGAATACAGACTAGCTTGGGCTGGAAGGGTCCTTAAAGATCATCTAGTTCCAACCCCCTGCCGTGGTCTTCTCTCCATCCTTCTGTCACTGAAAACATTGAAAATAATAATTTAATATTAATATTTTAATTATTTTAATAATAATTTAATATTTTCAATGCTCTAGTACAGATTGAAGTAATTAAACTGTAATTACAGCAATATCTTCTGTTACCTTTACAGCCATGAGTCAAAGTGGATCCCATTCAGGTGTGACCCTTTTCCAGGTAGAGAGTGTTTAAGGGTGGGCACAGGGTCTAGTTTGGTCTTTCCAGTTCTATCTGTGTCATCCAGTCCAGGTTAGCAAGAGGCAGCACTTGGGTGTGCATTTATCAGAAGGAATTTATTTACAGAAGACGCTGTGTGGCAGTGATGGGCAAACACCCCTTCCCCTCAGATGCAGCATCTACAGACACTGTCAGGGCCAGGCTCTGTGCTCTCCACGCTCCCAGTGTGGGCACCCTCACACACACACAGAGAATATCATCCTTGGTGACCACATTTAGCTGTAAAGGGCATGGCCCCATCAGTGTCCACATCTCACAGAGCGGTGGCTGGACTGGGGTAGCCCAGGGGGTGCAACAGGATGGGGGATTGTAGGCAGCAAAAAACAGGGAACAGGGAAAATTACCAGCTGAAACCACAACAGCATCATGTCCTGGCTAATTCCAGCCGGAGGGACAGGTCTCCTTCTGATGACCTGCAGGGGCTCAGGGGTTTGCACCCCGAGCCAGAAAGCCTTTTGGCCGGAAATATTAATGCTGGGATGTAACTCCCAGAGTTCATTTAGGATTTGATGGAATGTGTGGTTGGGCATGTGCAGCTGAATTTCTAAAGTATTCCAGTATAAGGCATTCCAGTACAAAGTATTCCAGTATAAGCTGCTGCATGAAGCACAGATTTTCCTGATGCAGACCTGGGCTCCAGCACATCCCAGATGTTATTTCCTTTGAGTAAACAAATATCAAATGGATTTATAATTAATATTGGATTTTAAATTAAACTGAGATAATTGAGAAAAAAAAATGTGGATGCTCAAGCCTCTTCTATAAATGTAAGAGTCTATAGCGATAAATTTCTCTTAGTTTACTGACAACTTATTTACTTGGATATAGGCGAGTGCTACCTATCCCTGGGAGTCTCCAAAATTCCTCAAACACACACAAAAATAAATAAAATAATATCCTAGAACTGTTTAGAAGAATAAAATAGCCTCTAAAGCAGCAGTTTATGATCCTGCAGGACACATAGCTCCCAGTTTCCTTAGGCTGCAGCACCCTCCAGTGGGGTCCCTGCTGATGGGTTCTCCACCATTGGGACACCCTGGGTCCCCCCCTACCTGGCTGCTGTTCCTTTCAACCCACAGGAGAAATTAAACTTGTAGTGGAATTAAAAGTTGGTGCTCAATGAACGCATAAATTTGGTGTTTAAGTAATGCTTTCATAAAGCAGCTTCCTCAGTGCCTGCAGATATCTGTGTTTATACAAATGCTCATATTTGTATTTATGCATCTTTCTAACCCAAATATTTGTGTACCTAGACAAGCACAAATACTTACATCAAAATATTATTAAAAGCAAGCTGAGAAGTTAAGCAGTTGCAAACTAAGCCAGCCAAAGGCACTCTGAGCCCTGCCTGGCCTTCTTTGCCGGTGTCACCCTGGACACTGCTGTCCACCACTGCCCCAGCACCCCGAGCACACCCAGCCATGATTCCTATTCCACACTTCAGAGACTCCCAGAATAGTCTGGATTGGAAGGGACCTTAAAGCTCATCCAGTTCCACCCCATGCCCTGGGCAGGGACACCTTCCACAGTCCATGTTGCTCCAAGCCCTGTGCGTGTGGGACTTGGCTGGGGCAGAACTGTGGGCACAGAGGGGTTGGGGTTGGATCTGCTCAGGGAATAGGTTGGGCACCTGAGAAAACAGGTCACAGGGTCATGCCCAGAAGGCCAAAAGATTTTCTATTTCTTCACTTCAGGGACATCTCAGAAGTTCATGTTAAAACAAACACACATTCTTAATACAGAAAACATTTACTTGAAATCTAACTTTCTGTTGAGGAGTTGTCCAACAGACACTTCAGAAAGCCAAAGCATTTTTATTTTCCTCCTTTGAGGGATTAAAGGCTTTTTTGGGTTACTGAATTCACAGATCTCACTGACCTCACTGCCCTGGAAAGTCCAGCCCCTGGGGGTCTGGTGTGATACCAATGGGCACAGAGCACTGGGACCATACTCTGGAACCTCCCAGTAATTTTGTGTTGAGTGACCACTGATCTAAAAGCATGAAGTCAGCATTTGTGATTATATCACACTGAAATTCAACACCTAAATTACTGAAGCAAAATAGATAGATAAATAAATGATGTTTAAATAAGGACTTTGGTAATTTCAATACCAAGTTCAATGTTTTCTCTGTTATCATCTGAAGCATTTTAACCCAAATGAGAGAGACTTGCAGGTGAAGGAGTTCCAGGGCTCACAGAATCCCAGAATAAGGGGGTTCCAGTTGATCAGCCCATCTTACCTGCCCAGAGCTCTGTCTCCTTCCTTCCCTGTGCTCCCAGGGATGGGATCTTTGCTGTGGCTGTGAACAGGAGGTTGTTCCTGACCTTGCCCCACAGCCCCGTGTTTCTGTGCTCAGCTGCAGATCCCACGTGGTCTATCACAGTCTGGAATTTCTTCTGGATTTCCCCTCTTCAGCTGTTTTTCTAGAGGATTCCTTTTCCTTCCTGGTTCCTGCACCAGCCTCCTGGGCTTGGGATCTGTGGGATTTGTGCTCCCTTTCCCCAAGGTGAGGACGTTTTCCAGCTGACATCATCTTCCATTTGACAACATCTTCTGCTCCCTCTTGCTGCCTCCCCCAGCCCAGCACGTGTGGATCAGGGATAATTGTTTTAGTTCACTCCTTCACAGGTTGAACTTTTTGCTGGGACAAAGTTTAGCCTTTTATCGTCACTCAAGGACAGCAAATTATAAATTATTGTGTCATTTTGCTCATCATGGTTTACTGAAAACTCAAAAAAAAAAAAAAATTACAACTTGATTTCCTGAATGCAGCTTCATATTTTTCCCCCAAAACCGGGCTCTTGGGATATTCAACAAACCATGGGACAAACCCTGTGTTACGGAGAAATACCTTGGAACAAACCGCTTCATTTTCACTCCTATTCATCTTGTCATGAGCTACTCCTCTGGAACTCTTCCTAAAGTCTTCTTTCAAGAGAGATTTTTAAGGAACTATGGATAACAAATATAAATGTGTGACATACAAACGGGACACGGGCACTTCTACACAGAAGCAATTTGCCACCTGCTTAGCAGGGAACCAAAATAATTCAGTGTATCTGAATCAGTTCTGTCGCTCCTGACAGAGCCAAGCGCTGTGTCCAGCAGCAGAGCCAGGATTCCACTGGAGGTTAGTTCAAGCAGCAGAGCCAGGACTCAGGGAAGGAGCCTGTGGCTGTAGGAGAGGGAGGAGGAGAGTTTTTGGGCTTTCGTTGTCAGCTCAGTTCTATCTTTTCCAAACGCTCCGTCAGGGATTTCAGTGGTGTGGATGTGGCCTGTGCAGGGATCTCCACACCCCCTGGTCCAGCCCCAGTCTGAAAGGGTCACAAGGATTTGTACCTTCCATTGCCAGTAGCAAAGTATGAGAGAGATTTGGGGGGGTGGAAAGGGCAATGTCTCTGTTTCGGTCTCGGGAAGCAGGGCTGTCTTCCTGGGAATAACAGCAGGAGCAGCTGTGTCTCCCTCAGTAGGCTGAAACAAGACATAAAAACATGGATCAAAGAAAAGCCCATCTGGGCAAAAACAACACGCATGAAATTTCTGTAAGGTTCTATTTATAGTTATCTCTTGAATTCTGCAACTGATAAAAAAGGATTTGTGTTATATTCCATATCCGTGGGGAGCATTTTCCTCAATGCCATCTATGCCACAGCCATTTCTGGCAGCACAAACAGAAGTAGGGCAATTTACCCCCTATTTACATGGGGAAAGGGGGATTCATGGAGTACCCAGGGCCCTTTGGCATGATGATTGGAGGAACACACCCTTATAAATGCCATGGTCTCCCCAGACCCCTCTGGTTGCTCTCCTGGAGGTAGGACAAGCTCCCTGTCAGTGAGCAGGTCAGACCTCAGCCATGCAGGGAGAGGGGCTGAGGCAGATTTCCAGCAAGGATCAGTTGGAGCAATCTCTGGTGAAGCCAGGAATAAGCACAGAATGGGTGTTTTCCTTGTTTCCCTTTTAAGCCTGCTGAATTTTTCCTTTTCCTTGTCCTTCCCTCTAAAGAAGGAAATTCTGTTTGACAAGATTTTTTCTGCTGGTGCCAAGATATCATGGTTTTTAAAGGCTTTGGAGTTTCCATTTTTAGGTTCTCTGGGGTGCCCAGGAGACCTCTCCAATCCTGCCAATACAGCAAGGGGAAGGCTCTGGTGCTTTATGAGAAGAAGAGGAGAGACCAGAGGTGACCCGAGGGCTTACCTTGTGCATGTGGCCTGAAGGGCTATGACCAGAGAATGAAAGCTAAAGAGAAAAATAAAAACAAAAATAAAAACTGAAAAGGGGGGGGGAAGAGAGGAAAAAATGGAAGAGAAGAAAGAGATTAAGAGTTTACAGTGTGTTTAGCTGAGAAAAAGCTGTGGTTACAGACAGAGTGCAACAAAACTCCCAGGTGAGAGGAAATATGGAGTGTGAAGTTGGGTCCAAGGGCTCAGGGCTCGACTCAGCTCACCAGAGCCCCTGTGTCCCTTGGACTGGTCACAGTCACCCCCTGCCTCCTGAGCCCAGCCCAGTCACAGCCACAGGCTCAGGGAAAATAGGGAGGGAAAACACCATCTGAATTCTTCTGACACCTCAAAACCCCCCAGACCCAACCCCGATGAGGTTTGGGTTCAGTCTCAGGTGCAAGTCCAGCTCAGCCCTGTTTGCCCTGACCAAGCTCTCCCCTGGCCATGTCACTGGAAATGAGTGTGTTCAGCTGAGGGCAATTTTGGGGTCGAATACACCGGTTCTGACTGGAGAGGCGCCGATGACAGGAACTGCGGTGGCAGTGATGGCTGTGGCTGCAGGTGAGGGGAGGAGAGCGAGGCCCCTCATTCCTGCTGGGAAAGGCTGGTCCATGCGGCTGCACGGGAAGATGCTGGAGATGGGAGGGAGGGAGCAAAGATCCCGGCTCCTTCCCCAGAGCTGACCTGCTGACCTCAACTCTCTCCCTTCCCAGGGTGGATGGACCCCCATCCCTGCCAAGTCCTGTGTTATGGACTTCACTGAGGGACAGCAGAAGGAATGATTCAATTTAAACAGTCAACCTTTCCTTCCCAGAGGAACTGATGCAAGTGCAAACTGGTTTCCTGGAGCTCTCCCACTGCACACACGAGCTCTCTAAGGACATTTCCTTATCCCAGGTGAAATGGATAATGGTCATGTGCACACACAGCAGCTGTCCCAGCTGCATGACCTTACCTTTTCCTCTAACTCTTTTATTTGTCTTTTTTGGCCTTCAATTCTTTCTTCTAGCTCTTTAATTCTCTGTCAGATTTCAAATAAAAAAATATTTATTAACCAACCAAATAACAGATGTACCCAGAAGATGCATTAGTTTTGGGGGGATATAAACTGGATGTGGCTGTGCTTCTACCAAAAACACATTGGGTATTAAGCTGCAGGTGAGTCCTCTGGGAATGTCACTGTGTGTGACGAGGTCAGGAAAACCGAGATGCCCCGTGTGCAGGGTTATCCAAGGCCAACCAACACCTGCCCCAGGACCAGCCAGTGGTGGGGCAGCTCTAGGAGGAGAGGCTGGTGCTCACAGGGACCATCCCACCCTGGATCCCACTGTGCCCTGCCCCCGTGCCCACCTGCTGTGCGTGCTGAATGAGCTCCATCCTTTCCCGCAGGATTTGGGCGTCCCTCTCCCGGAGCTCACTCATCACCTGCCGCTTCCATTGCTCCACGGCGCTCTTCAGCTTCTCCTTCTCCTCTTCTGAAAGAAGTTCGGAAATTTTGGCTCCAGCTTCTTGCTGCAGGGCATCATAGAGCATGGCTTCTAATTCCAGAATTTGCTAATCAAAAACAATATAAGGCTGTCAGCTCGACCTTGTCCCTGGTGGGGTGAGGAGTTTGTGAGGAACTGAACATCCAGGTGAGGCAGCGGGAGCAGTGGAGGGGTTTGTGTGCTGAGCCTCCCTCACAGGACAGCGCGGAAAACTCAATCCAGAGGGAAAATACTTCAGGCTGCCTTTATCCCATGGGGGTCTGGGTAGCACTGGAACTGGAACAGCTCTGGGCCCAGCCCAGTCTGCCCCTCAAACATGTGTGGGAGCCAGCTTATCCTTCCTGGGGATGGGAGATGGCCGTGGGGAGAGAAGGGAAAAGGAAAAAAAATAAAAGAAGGTGGAAAGGGAGAAGGGACATTCAAAGAAGACTCATTTTGTGAGTTACAGATACTTTTTACAGGTAGTTTTCAAGTCCCTCAGTTCCCCTTTTCCAGCTCTCCAGTTCACAGCAGCAGAGGACATGGCAGGACCATTCCATGTTCCTGCCAGCAAGGAACAACTCCCTGCTGTGTGTGTGCAGATTTTGTACCAGCCAGCTGAAATGCTTTGTGGGAAGGTGTTCCCAGCCCTTCCTCTGGCAGAGCTCTCAGCTCTGAGAGGCTCCATGCTCAAGGAAATGAACCTGTCTCATAGCTGGGCCTTGCCAGACGATGTCTTCTGCTTTTTAATCCAGGATAAATGCTATTCCCTCAGACAAGCCAAGAGTAAGCTGAAATCTTTTTCAGTGAGTTTGATACAGAGCAAGACAAAAGGCAGCAACTGGTGGCACCTCTGCACACCCTCTCCAGAGCTTGTGGTGTCTTGCAGAGCTTTCCCTGGCCTCAGAAGAACCCCACTGCTATAGAATCACAGAATTGTTGTGGCTGGAAAAGTCCTCAAGGTCCATCAAGTCCATCCAACCATTCCCTCAGCACTACCAAGGCCACCCATGTCCTCAAGTGCCACACTGGGGAACATGTCTTTTAAAGCCCCCCAGGGTCTGTTGTGATAATTAGGCTCAGTTCAAAATCATGTTTCTCCACCTGAGGCTGCCTGTGGTGTTTCCTCACTATGGCTTAGCAGAGCCAGGACAGCAGAACACACTCACAAGGACAGTGACACGTTGGCAGGAGTCACAGCACTGATGATAACCCACCTCTGTGGGGAAGATCACATCAGATCTCAGGAGAAGATTCTGCTTTCCTGTTTTAAAACAACCCCAAACAGCCTCACTAACCTTGTCCCAACAAAATACTGTTACTTGAGACATGGATGTGTGCTGGGCCCCAAACGTCACGTACACAACCATCATCCTTCTCTGACGTGAGAAAGAAGAAGGGCCTGGGCACATTCCCAGTCTCCAGAGCAGCAGCAGTGTGAGCCAAGTGTTTCTTGGAGCAGAATCCCCTCCAGCAGCCACTGGAGTGAGAACCATGCACAGATTAGCGGTTCCGGCTGGTAATCTTGTTGGCTCCAGTTCAGGGGGGATGCTGATTAGCAGCTCCCCATCTCCAGGGGCACAAAGGAAACATGGAACTGAAGCAAATTTTATAAAGCAGAAGAGCTTTTGCCACTCGAATTGCAGGGCAGAACAAAGCTTTCTGTTGCTTTCAGGCTGCATTTGTGCCCGGGAGCAAAGCCCAGTGCTGTGCCTGGGATGTGATACCTTCAAAAAATACAGGAAAACCAAATAACCCTCTGCTCGGGCTGCACAGAGTCATTGCACTCACTCCTTCCCCATGAGCAGCAGAGCTGAGGAGCTGAATTGTTGTTGGACCCTTTGGTAAATTTGGGATCCCGGACTGGGATATCCATCTCATGGCTGTGAGCCGCAGGGGTGCTGAGGGACACCCAAATCCACAGCAATGGCTCCACGTCTCAGCTCTCCTGCATACTCCATGACGTTCCCAGGAGTTTCAAGTGATGCCATATGCTTTTCCCACTCTGCTACTGTTGTGAGTTTCCACACAGATTTCTGGCTCTGTTCAGAACTCACCCAAGACTGAGCAGATTGTTGCTCTGAGGGCTTAACTGTGAGGATGAATCCTACAGACTGCCAAACTTTGGCTGCACCAAACTGCTTCTCAGGGCAGCTCAGAGCTGCAAGAGATCGTGGAATCTCAGAATCCCAGACTGGTTTGGGTTGAGAGGGATGTTAAAGAACATTTCGTTCCACCCCCTGCCATGGGCAGGGAACTTCCCCTGTAAGATGTTAAGGCTGAGACCACAGGTAAGGGGGGAACTCGTGTGGTTCCCAGGGTTTCCACTGTGGATTGGTTCCAGATACAGCTCAGCATCTGGCAAAATCAGTCATAGAAATCACTCTCATAGGACAGAGAGTGCATGGAGTAAAAGCTCCCCCAAATGGTTTGAGATGCGAATAGATAACAGGATCCAAAACCAGCCCTAAATACTCATTGCTCCTCAGAAAGTGTAACTGTGCTCAAGGTTTACACAGAACTGAAAAAATGACTTGAGGTGACCATTTATGCATTTCTGTCTTTTGTGAATATATATTAAACTTTTCCCTCGCTGAAGGAAACAAGACAGCTGGTGACTGAAGGGATGGGTGAAATGCCTTAGGACCAGCTAATGATGAACCTGCTGTAAGAGTAGTTTAATTTTGAATTTACAAAATCCCAGAATCCCTTCAGCTGCTTTGGTTACAGAGGCTGTAATCCAAGATCCAAGGAAATGTCTAGGTTAAAATATCTATTTTGGAAAGAAAAGATGAGTTACCGAAAACATAATTTCCTTACCAGTCCTTTACTAAAACCTCTGGTGAATTAAAACTTGTATTTCCTAAACCTGCGAGGGCCACCCAAAGCCAAGGAATTCTGTTCATGAGGAACTCACTGTCAGCTCAGGGTGTAGAGGATCTGGCTAACACTCAGCCTGTCACACTCCACGAGCAGAGAGTGTCCACAGGGAACAGACCACACACATCACACCAGGTGAGTTATTCGAGGTGTAATAACTCAGCCACGACTGATGTCCCTCACCTTGTGAGCCTGGTCCAGGGACTGCTTCCTGAAGTCCAGCTCATCGTCCAGGTAGCCCTTTTGCTTGCTGAACAGCTCCTAGGGACCAAGGAAGGGGCTGTCAGTGACCACCACACCCCACCAGGAGTCCTCCAGCCCCTCCCCTGCTCCTCCTTTCCTGGTACCTTCTCGTTTTCCAGATCCAGCATTTTTTGCTGCAACGCTGACTCCGTCACCTCGATCTGCTGAAGCCACTGCACAGACAGAGAGCAGAGCCAAGCCTGAGCAGGGCACACCCTGTGAGCCCAGCTTCCCTGGGACTCAGGGTGTGCCAGCACACAGCGAGTACTCAAATAAAAGCAATATTAACTGTATAATCTTATTTTTCTTTTCTATATATTGGCGATGGCAAAAAGGTGTATTTCAAAGCCTGACCATTACCTTCTGACATTGCTTTGTTAGTTCAGTACCATTTTAAGTTAAGCAATGTCTGTCTGCATTCCCAAAACACTACCTGTACTTTGACAAAAACTAGTGTAATTCCACATAAAGCATGGTGGCGTTTGGTGATGGAGCCATCATCTACATCACCACTGTGTATTCTGAGAGGCACACATGATGCCCTGGTTATTACCTTTTCAGCCAACGTGAGGACAGTCCTTGCTTGTATGATGACCACTTGCTCTTCGTTGGTCAGATTCTGCATCAAAACAAAATACAATTACAACAAATCCCAGTGTCTTGTTATTAACCCACTACTTAGGCCACTGCTGTATTAAAAAAAATCTGAAATTAAATATGTTCAAGGAACAATAAACCAAGGCAGAGAAAATTAGTATTGTAATGCAATATTCATACCGAATCCTTATCATACACAGAGTTAATTCTCCTAAAATTCTCATATTTACCAAATTAAAAAAGGTGACACTGGATCTATTTTTACCCAAAAGGGAGTAAACACACAGCTACACAGGACAAGATCAAGCTCAGCACAAAGTGCCACTGAGAGAAGAGACACAGTGCCCATCCCATGCACAATCCTCACTTTGCCAGCCAAGCCGTGATTTTGGGAAGCATTTGTTGAGATGTTGGCTATTCCATCCATCTTCTTTTGCTCTTTTAATAAAATCAAAGTAGTGAAACTGGGGTTTGCAATTCATCCCACACTTCAGTTTGACACAGACACAGTAGGAGTAGGGAATCCCCTCGGCTGAGTCTCACTTGTGTCCAGACCCAGAGCAGCATCAGCTCGTGGGGCAGGGGGAAGGTGGTGATCAGGGTGACTGTGAGGAGCTTCAGTTCAAGGCACAGCCTGGGAACAGTGACAGTGCTGCCCAGCAGGGATAGAACTGTAGAATCCCAGACTGGTTTGGGTTGGAAGGGACCTTAAAACTCATCTCATTCCAATTCCCCTGCCATGGGCAGGGACATCTTCCACTAGCCCAGGTTGCTCCAAGCCCTGTCCAACCTGGCCTTGGACACTTCCAGGGATGAGGCAGCCACAGCTTCTCTGGGCAACCTGTGCCAGGGCCTCCCCACCCTCAGGTACTTATAGTTCTGTTACTTCCAGGCTGCCCTGCAGTCCTGGAAATGGCGTTTCCCTGGTATCCAACCTGTCCAGAGGCACAGGGAGAGCTGGGGCAGCCCACGTGCAGAGCTGTGAGGGCAGTGGAGATCTTTCTGCAGCCCCACTGCAGGTGGTGGGGTCCTCCAGGGGGACCCCAGAGTGGATGAGGGCTCTCTGAGACCCTGGGCTGGAGAGGGCTCTGCTTTTCTTGGCCCCTCACAGCCCCGAGGGCTCTGCTGAGAGAGGAGAGCACAGCAGGAGTTACACAAGGACACATGGATATCCCATGCACATCACCGTTTGTGTGATTAGTCACTGCCACTTGCTGAAGGAAAACACTTGCAAATTTCTTATTATCTGCTTACCTTTTGTTTAATATCCTGGTTACTATCAAGGGTTTATAGGTCATTAAACAACATTAAAACACGCAGCTGCTGAAATGCAAAAAGCAAAGCAAACGCAGAGCAAGCAAATCAAGAAACCAGGTGACCAGTGGCCAGAAAACACCGAACACCAACATTATTATCCAAATAACAGAAACATTAAGAACAAAATGGTGACATTGAGCCCCTGTGTGGCACTTCAGCAGGCTGTGAACAAAACCTTAAAAAGCCAGAAAATGCTTCCTTCACTCGCAGCCCAAACCAGAGCAGGACAGGCTGTGCAGCACCAAGCCCAGGTGGCCTTGCTCACTTGACACGAGGACAAGTATTCCCCAAAGCATGCACAATTTATTAAAGGAACATACACTTACGGCGTTATCCCCTAAAATGTCCAATTTTTTCATCAGCTCTGCTACTACTATGTCCTGACAAGAGAGAAATGGAGAACCAGGAGTCAGCACAGAGTGTCTGATTTTGTTTAGGGAGAGGAGGATAGGAAAGGAGAATCCCTTACTGTTACACCTTCTGCCTCGCAGTACACCTGGAGGGGGCTCTTCCCCTCCGTGAACGGGCCGTGCAGGAAGTTGATGGCAGGGGACCGTCTCTCCCTCTCCTGAAAGGACAGTAATTCCTTGGTTACACCCTCTGGTGTGTCAGGCACATCACAGAGTCATGGAAGCGTTTGGTTTGGAAGGGACCTTAAAGCCCATCCCATCCCACCCCGTGCTGTGGGCAGGGACACCTTCCACTAGCCCAGGTTGCTCCAAGGCCCCATCCAGCCTGGCCTTGGACACTTCCAGGGATGGGGCAGCCACAGCTTCTCTGGGCAACAACAGATTGCAACAAAACTATACCATAATATATACATATACATAGATAGGTAGATAGATAGCTTTGAAATTTTGTTTGTAAGTGGCTGCTTTGTTAATGTCTCCTTGGAGAATTTCAGAACCAGTTTCCAAGAGCTCACAGGTTCTGTTTGTACAGGTAGGGATACAGAAAACAGAAGGCTCAGGGGAGTAACTGCAGTGGCCACCTGATTCCTCCTGTGCAGGTTTAGCGAGAGGTGAAACACCGGGATCATTTTTGGCAATGGAGAAAAGTTTCTTTTAATTTTTCTTTCCCAGGGTTGATCCATTCTGATTTTACCTCTTTGCCTTTTCAGGACAGAAGGAGAATAGTAGAATGTGTATCTACAGCATGGGCCAACTTTCTGGATCTTAAAACCACTTAAGCAGTAACGCTGCCAGAACAACTGATGGTGCATATCAGTGTTGATCCCTCGTTGCTTGGGGTTTTCCCCTTTCATAAGCACTTTGTACCAAGCCCTGTGGCCTCACTCGGTGCAGTGTGTCCCTCTCCAGACCCCCCTGTTCCCAAACCCGCAGTGCCTCCGTCCCTGGCTCGCAAAGCCCAGGGCAGGGCCGTGGCTGCCACAGGTGCTCACTTCCAGCTCCAAGATCCTGAACTCCAGAAGCTCGTTTTGGTCCTTCGCGTCCTGGACATCGTGTTTCAGACGAGCTTCCTCGGCTTCCATCTGTTTGATCTGCAAAAGAAACAAAGCAACTCATCCTTAGCACTGTCAGCAGAGTCACTCCTGATCCGCTGTGCACTGACCCCACTGGGACAGGGCTGGGGGCACTGGGGGCTGAGCCCAACTCCCTGGGGGCAGTGGGAGCACTGGGGGTCCCAGCCCACCCCAGGATCACCATGAGCAGGGACACACGACCCCAGCCATGAGGGGACACAGGGTTGTCCCCCAGAGCCACCATCCTCACGTGGCCTCCCACCAGACACGTGTGGGCCAACAGGGAACGCTGGAAACTCACTTTTTCCCCGAGGTTTATAAGGATCTTGTGTTACACATGAATTATTTCTACAGAGCTGTGCAGTACATATTAAAATACTGCCCTTTCTGCATCCCTTCAGCCACAAATATTATCGGGATAATAGAAATAGAAGCACTGAACACCTTTTCTACCAGTTCCTGATTTCTTCTGTAGAGTGCTTGCTTCTCCTCGATCCACTTCATGTCCTTGGGAAGGAAAGGACCAACACAAAAGGTGAAGCTGGCAATGTTTAGCACCAATAGAGCAGCAAGTATTTCACTAAATCTCACATATACAGGGACAGAGCAATATGCATATGAAACTGTAATTTCATTGTTTCCTAAAATAACTTCCTAATCTAAACTCACCCATCTTATTTTAATGGAGTCTGTAATATGCAAACAGAATGGAAACATTCCAGTGATTAAAAAACTTTTTCAGATCAAAAATTTGCATTAAAAGGGATATTTCCAGCTATGTGTCTACTACTAAATTTCTATTTTGCTAAATACAGATGACATATTTCTAATGATCAGGCAAAATAAACCTTATCTGGAAATTAATCTCTTAGTCTGAGGGATATATAAAACCCACAAAGCCCAGAACACTGTTTATCAGCAAGGGCAACAACAACAGAAGGTTAAGCTGGAAAGGCAGCTATGAAATGATTTAATATTATTTTAAAGTTCTCAAAACAGTTTTATGCTATTTTTTCTTCTTGTTTTGTTTGTTTGGTTGGTTGGTTGGTTGGGTTTTGTCTGGAAAAGTACTACACAAGTTGGAAGCAACCTGGGAACATTTCTGGTTCCCCAGCAGGGAGGTGGGACAAGGGCTGGAGTAATTTGTGGCATTACCTGTCCCTGCTCGGCCAGGGCCTTCTCCAGGTCTTCTATCTGAGCCTGGGACCGGTGGATTTCTGCTTGGAGCTGCTCACGTGTCTGTGGGATACAAGGGAGAAAGGAAAAAACCCCAACAAATCAATAAAAAATACACCAAAAATAAAAATAAATCCAAATTTCTCCAAAAGACCAAAGCTAACGCAGGTACAGAAAACACTCAAAACACGAAACACTTTTAACAAGTGATTTTTAAAGTTCTTTGGTAGAATGAACTTGACCACACAGCATCAGCCGGGAATCAAATAAAGTCTGGGAGGTGGGATAATGATTTTCAGATTTAAGTCCAGATTAACAAAACAGTGAAGCAGAAGTGGCTCCTCATGGTTGGTCGTGACAGGCTGCAGCCAGCAACCCCCTGCTCTGGAACAACAAGTGTAAAAAGCTATTTCTCTATGAAAACAAATGAAAATTATTATGGCACAATTCTGGGCACACCTGGTTCTCTTAAATTTGGGGCAAGTTAAAAAGCTCAGGGCAGACCCCACATATGTAACATTGGAGAACAGCAAATTCCATTGATTGTTGTGCCTTTAGCACCTTATCTATGATTTACTGCCTTATCTGTTTAGTACCCATTTAGGGTCTTCCTGTACTGTGTGTCACTGTTTAGTACACTCGTATCTTCCTGCTTACTTAAACAGACACCACCTTCCTACACATGTTTGGAGAATAAATGCAGTTATTATTAGCTGCCTTATTCATTAAATAGTTTTACAGAACACTCTCTGTCTTCAAACCATTTCTCTGCTCTTTATCTGGTTATTTACACTGAAAATTATCTTGTTTGCATGACGTACACTAATCTCTCTTTTTGCTCACTATGGAAAAATTAAATTCTATCCACTTTTCCAGCTGGGCATGTCTTTGTTCACTATGATTTTCTTTCAAAGTGCAATTCCTAATGCCTCAGAGTAGACATCAGTTCTGAGAATGTATCTGGGAATGTCAGTTTTTATGCTTTTTACCTTGATCTACTGTAAGTGTTCCCGGATAACACCTTCACACAACAGATGCAGGACCAAATTAAGGCTCTGCAGGTGCCTTTCTCCTGTTAAACTTCAACTATTCCAACTCCCTGCCATGGGCAGGGACACCTTCCACTAGCCCAGGTTGCTCCAAGCCCCATCCAACCTGGCCTTGGCCACTTCCAGGTATCCAGGGGCAGCCACAGCTTCTCTGGGCAACCTCTGCCAGGGCCTCCCCACCCTCACAGCCAAGAATTCCTTTCTAACTCCTTGTAACACACAACAAACTCATAACAAATGCAATACTTTAGCCCAGCTGTCAGGAGCCTCAGGGGCTGCCTAAGCACATGGGCAGGCAGAGCAGCACAGGGCACTTTGCAATTTAATTAAGAGAAAAAAATCTCAGCTATAAGCCTTCTAAACATTTTATGAGGAATCATGTAATCTCTCAGATCCCAGAGGGAATTATACACCACGCATTATACATTTAAGGCTATCTGTCCTACTTCTTAATAGGAAAAGAGCTTAATTTCAAGGATTTCCCATAAAAAAACTCTCTCTGGATTTCCCTCAAACTGATCAGAGGTGAAAAGACTCAGCTGCACCAGTGGTGGATCCTCAGCAAACCCTTCCTAGAGGAGGGTCAGACATCCCAGAGACCCCCAGCCAAGCCCCCCAGGCTGAGTCCCAGCCTGGCTGCTGCAGGCAGTGCTCGAGAACAACCTGAGCAGGTACAGTTGGGCCCCCCACCCCCTCTTACAATTCCAATGTTCATGTAATATAAGCCATGTAGACCTTAACTTCTCGTTCTGCATCCAGGGTCCCTCCGACCTGCTCCTGCAGCAGGGCATAGGCTCGTTGCAGGGCCTGGTACTCCATGGTCAGCTGCCGGAACCGCAGCTCTGTCTCCTCCTTGGCCATGCCCTGCAACCAAAAAACAGAGTGGATTAGCTATGTTTTCTCTTCAAAGTGCCAAAATGATCACTTTTGAAATGCAATTTGGGAAGCACAGCACTAAGGATCTCGTTTATGTGCCCTCAGACTACTTATCTTCTCTCCCCTAAACACTTCCAGAAAATGCAATATAGAAATAAAAAATAATCCCCTGCCTTGAAAAGATAAAAACTTGCCATCCATATAACACACTAATGATGCATCACTCTTTCTTCCTGTAACAGGGAAAATCATCACGTTAAAGGTGAAAATACAACTTTCTTGAAACAACAAAAGGTTTCCAACCTGGGGAGGAAGCCAAGCCTGACAGCCTCACTCAATTATTAAAACACGAATCCAGAGCTAATACTTGTAGGAGTGGTGACAGCAACATGAAAGGAGCCCTTCATCTTCTTCACCCTCCTTACAATATCCAGCATGGAACGCTTTCATGTCAGGCTGACCGGAATATTTCACTCAACATGAAATGGAATTACATTGCTGCGTGCAGGCACCAACTCCCCACCAGCTGAACAGGGGAAAACATAAAGGAAGGAAAAACAAACAGGCTCATACATCCACAAATGCATTCAGATTCCTGCAGTGCAGCACACACCTGGCAACCATCACAGCTCTCTTATGATGGAGACAGGAATCGTCCAGGTTGCCTCTGACAGATCTAATTACAGCCCACGGCACAGGAGAATGGGCAGCAGAGAACCTGCAGCCAGTGCACCGTGAAAAGGCTGCAGCTCATCAGTGGCAATTTTCTGTCTGTTACAAGATTCTTGTTAAACCCAGAAGCGTGTAATGGTCCAGTGATCTGACACACACAGCCAGGAATACATTTGTAGGGAAGCCCTGTAAAATACCAGGAATAACAATCCCTTTGATTTGTATTAGCTTTGTGTACTCTGCACTCAGAGCTCCAGAACAGCCCAACCTCCATAACCCAGCGAGGAACCAGCCTTTCCCTGGAGCCTGGAGCTTTAGGGGAATACTCCCTGCTCCTTCCCCAGACACAAACCTCACTGCTCTGGGCCGAGGTCAGAATGGCAAACAGAAGGATCTGACCCAAACTACACATGCCCAAATATGCAGCCAAGTTCATAGTGAACAGACCTCCTAAGGGTTCTTTGACTTCTCAGCCTTTTTAGACCTCTGACCTATAAACCTGCTGTAAATTTAATATTCTTATGATATAATATTTCCAGCTTGGCTGCAAGCTGTGAAATTACTGAAGACCTGACTTCCAGAGATACCAAGCAACAAGCATAGGGTCAAATTTAATATAAATGGTTAATTTTTTGGCCTGAGGTGAGAGAAGAATGATAGAACAGATCAGGAATTCCATTAAAAATTAGCAGTGAGTTTGCAAAACAAAGTAACACAGATTTTTGATGATTACCTCTTCCAAGTCATCCTCAGGAGTGCAGGGGGTTTGGTCTGTCCGGTCAGTTTGGTAGGAGATGGAGGAACCATCTGACTCCAGGGAAGCTTCTTCATCGTAGCCATAAAACGTCTCCACAACCGGCTTCTGGCAGAGACAAAGGTCAGGGAATGTGGCCAAGCCAAGGGCCCCGTCAGCCCCTGAGCTGGGGACAGTGCTGGCCCTGGACACCTGGATAAACTGTGCCTCTGTGGGACCTGAACACGGGCAGCTGGGAGGAACCTCAGTGCCAGGCTCTTGGGAATTCTCACTCTGCTGCTCTTTGGGAACTGGTGCAGCTCGTTACACGTGAATACACAGAAGTGTTTTCACCCCATGCCAGTGACAACAGCTAAATTGATTTAAATCACTGAAGTGCCATATTTGTCATTAGGTATCCCAGTGTGTGACTTCACAGCCTTTGACTTTTTAAACGTGTTTTCCTCCCAATTTCTCTAAGGCCAAGCACTCTTTTCACTGAGTGTTCACCTCAGCATAAGGTGGGACCTGTGCACTGAAATGCCTTTTAACCCATTGTCATCACTGTGATGTCCCCCCTGTCATCACCACAACTGTCACATGAAAACTTAAGATTTTCAACGAGTATTCTACTTGAAAATGTAAATTTAATCACTACAGCAATGTGTTTATGGTTTGAAGAAATCCAGTTTTCCATTCAAAGCTACTTTTTGTTTAAAAGAATGAAGGGAGTGGTGGTAAAGAAAGATTTACTGTAAATGCTTGAAAGCCAAAGACAACACTTCACAGATCAAAAAACATTTTTAATTGATGATTTACAAAAACATACCTAGATTTTGGCTTTTTGTTTTAATTTGCAGTGGGTAACTTTGGAAGGAGAATCCCAGAATCTCAGACTGGTTTGGGTTAGAAGGGACCTTAAAGATCATTTAGTTCCAACCACCTGCCATGGGCAGGGACACCTTCCACTAGCCCAGGTTGCTCCAAGCCCTGTCCAACCTGGCCTTGGACACTTCCAGGGATGGGGCAGCCACAGCTTCTCTGGGCAACCTGTGCCAGGGCCTCACCACCCTCACAGGGAAGAATTCCTTTCTAATATCCCATCTAACCCTACCCTCTGGCAGTGGGAAGCCATTCCCTGTGTCCTGGTGCTCTAGGCCCTTGGTCAAAGCCCCACCCAGCTTTCAGAGAGAGACAGAACGTGTCCCTCTCTGGAAGGCCTGCCTGCCATGTGCAGGATGACAGGAGTTATCTCCCATCAACCTCAATTAGTTATTTATAGATTCATTAGCTCCAGCTCCACCCTAATTTTTCATCTGTAGATCACAGAGTGCTCATAGTCTCTGGCATTAAACCTTTCTGTGCCATTACAGTGTTAATGTTTACATTAACACCCTGCCAAGTTCTCATTAACTAACGTTCCCTTTTCCCTGAGCTCCAACCACGGCTTCTCGTAACGGGCAATTTTTGCATGTTACTAAACACCACCATGAATTATTTACAACATACACATGTTTTCAGGCAGTGCCATTAGAAGATCATTTTGAGATGTGTTAATTCATAAAATCTGTCTCCTCCTAAGACAACCACATCCCACCGAAGTCCCACAGGGTAAGCGCAGAGCATGGAAAGGCTCAGAATGTGCAATGCAAAGGGTCCCCTGCCCCTCCCAGGTTTTTCATAAATATCCCCAAAAGGTCTGTGATTGTCCTTGAACTACATCACCCAAATTTAGGCTTAGGACCCATTTGCATACCCTTCAGGAGAACATTCCCCCATGTGGCCCCGAGGTACCTGGGGCACCCCAGCACCAGCACTGCCCATCAGCACGTCACTATACAAGCTTTTTCGTTTTACCTTAGGAATTCTTGTCATTTTTTTCCTTTGCTTCCTGAACCTTAACAGCTTATCACGTTCCTGCAAGAACCAGAGACATGTGTTAGCTGTTTGCAGAGAGCTGCTATTCAAATTAACCACGTCAGTACTGGGAGCCGCTGGGCAAGCAAGAAACAGGAATGTCACTGCTGGATGCTGTCACCAGGCATGGGTTAGTTCACTCCAACATCTTTCAGGTTTGCATATACAAGTAGACATTGCTCTTTATGTCCATGAAAATCTAGCTAAAATAAAGCTGATTATAAGCAACACAGTGCACTGAGAGCTTGGGTGTCACCTTGGGCTGCTCCATGGGTGACTGTAGCACTCCAGCCCAGGCCTGGGCTCTGCTCCCTCTGCCCAGAAAGAGAAGCAGAGACTGGCCCTGCCCTGGGCTCTGGTGGCTGTTGGTGCCTCTGGAAGGTGCATGCACGTAACAGCCCCACTGCACAGAATTCAGGGGCTGTTTGAACTCAGCACTTCCAGGCTCAGCTCCTTCTCTAAGGATCTGCAGGTTCCCAGTGCCCCTGGGAAAAGGTTTGAGCACTTACTGATTGCAACAATTTTTTTCCAATCAGAGGAAATCATGGAATCATCAAATCCCAGACTGGTTTGGGTTGGAAGGTACCTTAAAGCCCATCTTCTTCCACACCCAGCCATGGGCAGGGACACCTTCCACTAGCCCAGGTTGCTCCAAGCCCCATCCAACCTGGCCTTGGACACTTCCAGGGATTGGGCAGCCATAGCTTCTCTGGGCAACCTGTGCCAGGGCCTCACCACTCTCACAGGGAAGAATTCCTTCCTCTTTGTGGAGTAAGGTCAATTTTTTACAGTACTGGGAAAAAAAGTCTCTGTTCTCGACTGCAAATCCAGGTAAAGCCCAGGATTGCAGAGAGGAAGTTCCAAAAGGAAAATCCTTAAATCTTTCATTTTAACCACCTGGTAGAAGGATGTGATGACATTGTGGGACACTGACAATGTGCCACTGCCATGAGCCCGATGGCAAATCCCACTGTCAGCAGCAGTGGCAGAGGCCAATCGAACACTCATTGCTTGGCAGTGGGGAACAGGACATCCCATCAATACCTATTAGTGCTTAACTCCACAAAGTTCCTGCTGGTCATAATAGGGATGAGTCGGGCAAGGGCAGGGGCTGGGCACAGGCCAGTGTGGGTGACACAAACCCAGAGGTAACTTGAGTTAAAAAATGCAATTCCCATGTGGCAGAGCTGTCCTGGACATGGCTGTTGGCCACTGGGGCAGGTGGTGGGATTAAAGCTTTCTTCTCCACTATCACTGTATTTTTCTCTGGTGAACAACTGCTGTTACAACATCTACATTGAGAAAACAGTGTGTCAGCTCACTGCTGAACAGAGGTGGAAGGGAGAACAAATATTATTATACCCTGCCTCCTCTTCCACAGACAGCAATTTAAAGTGTCCAAACATGGGGATGAAGTTAATCCCATTCTTACCATGACACTCTTCACATAGCCAGCAGTCTCCAGGGTCTGATGCAAAAAGAATGAAATAATGTCAGTAAGTGGACAGGCTTAAGAAGAAAGGAAAGAAAAGTTATTTTCTGGAGGAGTATTAGTATTCTGGTGTTTTCTGTTTCCAGAGACTGAGAATGTGTTAACAAAGAAGCAAACCCTCTAACCCAGCATTGCAGACCACCCCCTGTTCACAGGAATCTTTAGTCCCAGTGATGTCTCCAGCTGAAGGAGCTTGGACACTTTCCCTCACAGGTGCTGGATCTGGCCACCAGCACATCTCCTGGACATGGTTCTGTCCTCCCAGTGCAATTCAGATGGAAAGGGTTTTTCCAAACACTACACCACAGATTACTTTTATTACCACTAAACACAGAAATGCCTGCCCACTGTGCCCGTGGGCTCCCAGGACCCTGAGCATCCCTTGCTTAGGCTTCCTCTGCCCTGCCCTTGGTCACTCTCCTGTGAGAGCAGCCCTGTTCCATCTTACCTTGGAGAGTTCATCAATGATGTTTTGCTGTTCAATAACTTGTAGTCTCAGGAAATCAACTTCTCTTTCTTCCTGGCTGTGGTCAAGGTCATTTAAGGAGCTTGGTCTCCTTATTGCTCCAGTTCTTTGCCTCTAAAACCAAAAACCAGAGGGCAGATGAGGAAATGATCAGGAGGCTTTGCCAAAGGACTTGTCTAACCCTTCCCTGTACAGTGAGTGGTGCATATCTCTAATGGCTGTTCTGGCAGCATTCCTGCTCCCCTTTTGCTGAGTCTCACATCCAGGCTGCAAATGTGCTGGAGGGTCCTGCTCCTCTGATTGCAAAAAAGGGCAGAGTCACCAGTGCAGATTTCCCAGGCATTACCAGGTGATTCTGGCAGGAAAGTCAAAGCTGAATCATAGAATCCCAGACTGATTTGCATTGGAAGGGACCTTAAAGACAATCCAGTCCTACCTCCTGCCATGGGCAGGGACACCTTCCACTAGACCAGGTTGCTCCAAGTCCCATCCAACCTGGCCTGGAACACTTCCAGGGCTGGGGCATGAAATGGGGAGATCTGTGCCCATGTGGAGACTGAGCAGCCCCAAGGGAACAGTCACCTGATAAACATGTGCAAAGCTCACACCACTCCTTTCCTTCAGAGCTATTTGTTTTCAAGGCTAAAGTACATCCTACATTGTGGTTTTTTTACATTTTACATGTTTATGTAAAACCAGACGTGTCCAAGGCACAAACCGCTCCACAGCACAGCACATCTGAGCAGGAGCTGGAGTGGGGACAGTTTCCTATGGAACCAGCAGGTTTGGGATGATGCCTGACCCCCTCAGCCCCATCGATTCCAGCACCCCCAGTTCTCCCAGGAGCACTCAGGTTCTCACCATTGCGATATTTTCTTGTGTCACAAATTTCAGTTTATTTTCCATTCGACGTAAGGCATGTGACAACTCCTCATTCTTCCTACTAAGGCGTTTGTTCTTGTCCAGAATGGGCTTATACTGACTTTCTGCTTCTCTGAGACGTTTTAACTGGAAGATAAAGAGAGAGTTAACACCTCTGGAGCTTTTTCAGTGAATATATTAATACTTTTCTTTAACAATCACATTAGCAGTATTTCCTCCTCATGAAAAGCAGAACTGATCAAAAACTCTTGTTGTTTTCCTGTGGGAAGAGATCATTCCTCCTTTGTGAGATATTCAGTCTGTGCAAGAAGGGCTCCATATGGGGCATGCATTTTTTTTTTTAAAAGGAAGTAAAAATAATTCCAGCTAATGCCACCTTAAAAATTCATTGTCATACAAGCCAAGAGGAGTGTGACGTGGCACAGCACCGAGCAGAGAGCTAAGGAGGGGCAGCCAGGATTTCCAAACAGCACAGGAGAAATACCCTGGTATTTTTGGGACAAGGCACATCCCTGGCAGTACGTCCCCCAGTCCCCATCCCTGCTGCCCTCACCAGCTCGTTCCTCTCCTCTGACAGCAGCGCGTTCCGGTCCTCCAGCTTCCTGATGATGCCGCTCAGCTCCGCGATTTTCAGTTGGAAGCGCCGGGCATCCTTTTCATCCAACTGCTGTTCCTAAAACAAAGATCAACTGCAAATAACTGTTCATAAGTGTACACGCCAGAGCACGTTTTCAAAGCTCAAACTTTTTCTCATCCCAAATCCAAACATTTCAAAACATTCTCGGGCAGAGTGTGACCCCTGGAACCCAAGTGACCATGGAAAGCTGCAGGATGAGACCAACGGAAAGTCAGGAGTGGAAATGTAACAAAGAATGCAAATGCAGAAGTATGTATATGTATATGCATATGCAAAGTCACGAATGGTAAACTTGGAAACAGCAAATATCCAAACTGAAGGCCGTGTTCCAATGGTGCCACTGTTGAACTGAGAGCTTCAGACACATCGCTCACTGAGGTCTTGGCCATAAGAAGATGATATTAAAATTACTGAAGTACAAATGGGGAAAATCCATGAAATTGTGCCACTGCAAAAGCTCTTCTCCCACAAAGCTGTGACCCTTATGGGGTCCTAAAGGGTCACTTGTAAAGCACTTTACTTGAGTGAAAATGCTTAAATCAAATCAAAAAGGAATATAGATAGATGTGTTCTCGTTCAGAGAAGTTACAGCTATTGACAAACATGCCAGACTTTTCCCTTCTCTAGGACTCGTTCTGGTCTTTGGCAGAAGTTGAGTACAACTCAAAGAGGCAAATTAGCGCCCACAGTGCGGGTGGCACTTTTTTGGGAGGTCTAGGGTTCCTCATTCAACAGGTGCAGGAGAGGCTTGGGCCAAAGAATGAAATAGGTAGGTCTGCTCATGTGTAAATTTTACACTTGCACTGAGAAAATCAAGGCTCTTGCAAAAGAAATCTTGATGAGGATCAGCAATGAGGACGACCTGCACACGTCAGAGGTACGAGGTCAGTTACCTGAGGGGTTCATCTGAGCAAAGGAAGGCCAAAGCAGAAAGGGCCCACAGTTACATTAAAAAAGGCATTGTGGAAGGGTGATTAAAATTAAATGTTCTGCATATTGCAGGAAATAAATAGGAAGGAGTAGGTTAGGAGGTCTTTGATTCACTTTGTGGCCCACTGACAGCGAGAGCACTCGGCAGCGGTATCCCGAGGGGCTGTGGGGTTTCCATGCTCTCACCACTGACTGCCTTCCCCCATTCCCTCTGTAACTGGCCTCGTCCATCTGCTCCCCGAGCCCCGTGCTCGCAGTTCCAGAGCTGCACACATACATCACTTGGTGAGAAATGCATTTGCATCGTTTGTTGGCAGAATCGTGTCAAACTGTCAAACTAAGGCGGGTGGCTGAGCATGGTACAGTGAGGAGAAGGAGAGAAAGAACAGAGAAATTTCCCCCTGCTGACACAACCAAACCAAACCGACCGGGAAACAAAGCGACAGAAAGCAAAGGCTCTCCCATGACAGGGTTTGATTTGAGATCAATGGTTTGGATAAAGCAGGAGCACGGAGCGGGTGCCTCAGGCTCCCCCGGCACGGCCATGGGAAAGCTCTTGCTCCAGGGAGCACTCATCAAGATTCTGTCACTTGGTGCCCTTTGGTCGCTGTTCAGGTGAAACCAAGTGAAAGTGCTTACGGGGCTTCCCGAATGATCTGAAGCGTCTCCTGCACCACTTGCATAAGGAAGTTCCCGCTTGGGGCTGCTCAGATGCCGGTCAGACTCTTTGAGCTGGGACAGTTGTTCATCTAAAGCCTCCTTTTGGAGCTGCAGTCTCTGAGCATGCCCGGCTCGCACCCCTAACTCTCTCTCCAGCACGAAGACTGCTCTGTCCTTAAACTTAATCTCCTCCATCTACAAGGAGAACAGAACACAATCACACAGGAGCAGCGGCTCAGCAACAGCATCCCGGAGAACCCCTGCCCATGGAAACACAGCACCGCTCCCGGGAGCCAGAACATGGACACTGGTCAGTGAACATCAGGCTCAATCACTTCAGGAGCATCGCCCTTCTCCTGGGATCACCCAGAGGGAAATCTCTTTATCGGCAGGGATTTTGTCATTAACTTGATTCGGAAATACCCCGTGCTCTTATCACTGTTTCAGAATATCTTAAAAAAAAAAATTAAAACTTAACATTCACATCACAATTTGATTGGTTCACTCAAACATTCTAATGATTTTGCAGCATTTTTCTTGGGCATCGCCTTTGGAAATTTCAAATTCATAATTTTTAAAGAAAAATATTAAAAAGTCAACATCTTTCTATTTGCAAAATATAGAAGGAATGTAAATTTTTAATCTTTTTCCCAAAAAGTCTCTCATGTGAGCAATTTAATAATTCCCTTCCTATGAGAGGTTTTGCTTATGGATAATAAACATTGTGCAAAATCATTAAGTGCTTAAATGACAAATGTCCAGTGACCTCTAATTCTCTTCTTCCCTGTTTGTCTGTGCTGAGGGGCTGTGCACATCCCATGGGATCAGCCAGGATCCAGCCCTTGTGAAGGGTGGTTGGGCCCTGCCTAATTATGGAAAATCCCTAATCCCAGCCCAAATTGCCTTGGGTGCCTGTGCTGCTGCACCCACTGCAGCAGGATCTGCAGCTCTTCCCGGCTGGATCACAGACACGTACATTATACATGGATGTAAAGGCATTAATTACACTCACACACTACATGTGTTACAGACACTGATTCTTCGGAAAGAAGGAAATCACATCCATCCCCTCAGGTGTCTGTGAGATGGTTTCAGACACCATAAACACAAGATTTTTAGCATCAGTTTTTGAAACTTTAGACATTTAATTTCAAGGATCCCTTTTTAAACCTGGCCTGCTTGAAATAAGCACATTTTGCCCTGTGAGAACTGTGTTAATACTTTTGTCTCTGCTTTGTCTGTAAACCTGGAAAAAAAAATTTCACTGGGGATCAACAGTCACTCAGAGGACTTTGTTTCCAATGGATACCAACATGGCCCAGCCAAGAGAAAAGCAGGTGCTGGCAAGTCACACAGGTATCAGGAGAGTCAAATGGAGCAAATGAAATGTATTTTGGGTGCCACGGACTAAAGGTGCTTTCAACAATGTCCATGAAGGCAGTGCCTGCTAACTTTGAATGAAACAAAGAGATGCCTCCTGAGCACCCGAGGTCCTTCTGCTAAATGCTTAATCAGGGAGAAATCTAAATAGATGTACAGACAACAAGGGAACACATCACCAAATGATTATTTGCCAAAATAAGCAGAATATTGGCTAGTTGATCCCTATTTATACGAAAACAAAGACACGTTACAACAAAGGCAACACATGAAATTGGGAGGAACAAAGAAACTGGAGAAAACACAAAACGTTTCACAGCATTTCACTAATGGTTTGTTTTCCAGGAAAAAAAAAAAAAGCAAACCCTAAACAAAACCATAAACCACAAGGAAACATCAGCATTCCCATTTTCCTTTATATCACTAAATTCCCCGTAGGTGAAACATGCACAACAGTTTGGTGTTTGCAGCCCGTTACTAAACACAAATGTTGTAGGAACAGCACAAATGGAAGGAAGCATCTCCCTGGAAAATGGCATTCAGTCATTAATAAAATTAAGGACACATACAGACAAGAGACCCCTCGGAACTCACTGGAATTGGTGCCGGTTGCCCGGGGTGGGTGCCCAGCCCGGCCTCATTCTGCGCTGGTGCTGGACTGGGGACACTCTGGGGCTCCTCTCCCTGCTCCCACCCCTGCTTGATGACTTGGGTCCTTGGGAAGGGCTTGGGAAGGGGCGTCAGCGTGCGGGAGCATCCAACCACCTGCGAGACACCCTGCGCCGCGGATATTCCCACTCTATTCCAGAGGCTGGGATGAATATTTATGCTCTATGCTAATTTATACCCAGCCGTGAGCACAGCTGATGCCAATTACACAAATACAGCCCCTGCAAGGTGAAATGTGCTGTTCCCTCCTCGTGCTCCCCAGTGCACACCCGGCACAGCCCGACCCTCCAACGGCTCCAGGCCGTGACTCTTTCAGATGTATCATTTCCATCCTGATTCAAACCCAGTGTGTAGGTCCTGGTTGGGGAATTTCTCCCTGTGATGTTCCTGGGGCCTTTGCAAACTCATAGGTGCTGTCAGAAATGGCCTTTGAAGCTCCCAGTGCCTGGGATCAAAGCCAGCCCCGCCAGGCAGGGGGCACACGCAGAGGGGAATTCCTGTCCGGCCGGAGCTGCCCCATGACAGACACACTTCCCAGCGGATATGGTGTCAGAAGTGGCAGCTGGGACACATGAGGACACCTGTCCCCAGCCTGGTCCCTGGATGGGACTGCCAGGCTCCTGTCACTGGGTGATGAGGAGATGGGGTGGCTCTTGGGGGTGACACCCCTGAGAGAGGGGGTTCAGACACAGGGGGCACAGGGGACACATGCCCTGCTCGTCCACCTTCCCTCCCCGCTGCCTTGTTGTGGGACCTGTCCCCAGCAGCAGCAGCAGCCAGATTCACTCAGAATCTTGGCTTGGGCTTAGAGAGACCCAAAATCTCATCTTGGTCCAACCCCCAGTGGAACCATCCAGTGCCCTGAATGAAGTGTGGGGTGTCCCAGACCCTCTGGAGGCAGAAACCCCATGTCCAGTGCCAGCAGCTTCCAAGCTCTTCCAGAGGCCCAGAGGCCCCAGTCCAAGCCCTGTGTCAGGTGTGTTGTAGCACAGCACCACAGTTACAGCTCAGAAGAGAGCAGGATTACAGAGAAAAATGTTTTTTAAACCCTGGCCTGCGAGACACCAAAGGAATGACTCAGAACAAGGAGGTTTATTGACCTTGTTAAGTGTAGGACTAATGTTGTCTGGCTTTTAATATACAACAAAATCCTCCAGTCCAGGTTTTAGTTGGAAAAAATACTGTTGTAAATGAGGGTCAAATCACAAATGACTAAAAAATGCCCAGCTGGCAGAAGGAACGATTCCCCTTGAATGCTGTGTGCACCTTTCAGTGTAGGTGAGTGCTGAGCCACCTTTATAATACCAAATATGGGGATTTCTCACCACATGAGGGAATCAAAAGGAGAAGATAAAGACTAAATCAATCACTGATAAAATTAATATTTAAAAAGTCAGCTTCCTACCCTTTCATCTGATCCCACCCTTTAAATCAGACATTTTCACTAATTTACCACTGTCTGACAGGGAGCTCAGGGTCTCTGTCTGAGAACACAGAGGTTCAGAATGGTGCAGAAAACCTCAGTCTTCTCTTTGGCTATGGGATGGCACTGCCATGAGGAACCAGTGAGGGTCTCAATGACCAATGGTCTTACAGAGGTGATGGAGCAGGTTATTAAAGCTTTCTGTAGTCATCATCAGCTACAGTTTATCTAAATTGAAAATAACCACTACCCAGCCTCTAATAAATCTAATTCATTCTGTTTTTCTGATTTCTCAGTACCCTGGTAAAGGAGCCAGGAGGAAGAGGCTGCAGTGGCCATGGCTGTGCAGAACTTCTCCTTCCTGACTAATCTACAGCTAATTAAAATTTAAATGCTCTTCACCACATTGGATTCTGGTTCCCACCAAGCAAACTTCATGGCCAATTGATCTCAGGGAACATTCCTGACTGAAAGCTGCCTCCCCTGGCTGTGCACACGCTAACTCAGGGAGTGCTCCTGACCATACAAATGTAATTAAATACATCCACGTAGTATTTTAGGCTGGTTTAAAAATGCACAAATTGAAATTTAAAACCGGTCTACTAAAATTAGAAATTCTCTCTCGAAAGGAGGCCGTTCCACACGTCCTCGTTACCATCTGCAAGGGAATTTCATCTCTTGCAGCCCCACTGCTGGAGGTTCTGAGCCAGGGACAGCTGAACTGGGTTAGTTGAACGTCTCTGGGGAGCCTCACGCTCAGTCTGCACAGACACAGACAGCACAAGCCATATGTGCAAACACAAAACACGAGCCCAGAGCAGCCTGAACGCACGTTTTGGAGGAACACCTTATTCCACAGTGCTGAGAGGTGCTCAGCCCTCCTGCGTGGGACTGGTCCAAAGCTGTTGGACTAACAGTCACCCTGAACCTGAAAATAACTACAGTGGAGAGTTGGGATTTTTATTTGGTAAATGCTCAGAATCACAGAGTTATTTGGGCTGGAAAAGCCCTCCCAGACCATCAAGACCAACCTGTGCCCAATCCCCACCTTGTCACCCAGCCCAGAGCACTGAGGGCCACGTCCACTCCTTCCTTGGACACCTCCAGGGATGGGGACTCCATCACCTCCCTGGGCAGCCCCTTCCAATGCCTGAACACCCTTTCCAGGAAGAAATTCCTCCTCATGTCCAACCTGAACCATCTCTGGCACAGCTTGAGGGTGTTTCCTCTCATCCTGTCCCTTGTTCTCTGGGAGCAGAGCCTGACCCTCCCCTGGCTCCACCCTCCCATCAGGGAGCTGCAGAGAGCGAGAAGGTCTTTTTGACTGGTCACAGGTTGGACTCAGTGATCTTGAAGGTCTTTTCCAGCCTTAAATATTCCATGATTCTATGACTTGGAAACGAAGAACTGAACCTATCAGACATCAATCACTTCAAAAACAACCTTGTGCTAAAGGGCTTCACACCATTGCAAAGCCAAACCCAGATGAATTTGACTCGTCTTTTTCTACTCTGATTCAACTAAAAAATAACTCTTTTCTTAGGTATGAAATTAAAATTCACCCAAAGGCTACTCCCTCCTTGATTAAAACAACTAAATAATGCATTGTACACAAGCCACGGAGCTTTTAAACCTTGAGCTGAATCCTTGGGCAGCTCAGGGCTGGTTGCCTGTCAGTGCCATGGGATGCAGGTGTGATCCCAGGGCTCTGGGGGATGGATGGACCTGCTCATCTCCAGCTCCTCTGTGTGTCTCTGCCTCACTGCAACCCCAGTGAGGCTCAAGGACTGCACTTTATGGCTGAGTCCTCTCTGAAAAGGAAGGAAACGCTGGTTTCCAGTGATAGTTGAAGTGTTTTGGGAATTGCCTCATTTTCATAGAGAGCTTTTATCACATGAGGCAGCACCAGCCTTTTCCCCAAACATCAGGGCCCTCCCTGCAAGGTGCCAGGAGCCACCAGTCCCCACTGAAATTATTTCTGGTGGAGTCAATGGAGCTGAGAGTACTTGAAGCCATCCAGGAAGCACTCAGGGCTTGGTGAAACAATGGCATCAGGTAATTTCATTAGTGCAGTCTAGCTAATCTCATTCTTTCCAGCAGGAATTTAAAAAGAAAGTTTGATTTTCAAAGGCAATTTAGAAAACATCCCATCAAACCACTCTATTCCTTATAAGTAAGACCATATTTATTTAACAGTTTCTACATTAAGGGCCATTAGTGAAGACTTTCCATGTGATGCAGCAAGTTTATTTAGGATGTCCATTAACCACCCTTCCACTGGGATGTATGAAATCAATGCACCAGTGATGAATGGTTAGAGAGGAAGGGACTTACTCTGCAGGATATTTGAACAGCATCAACAGATCAGTTGGTTATAAATTATTTTAACATCCTCTCTTCACAAAAATAAAATAATGCATGAAAAAAACTTAACAACCTATAAGTCTGAGGGAATAGGTGGCTAAATAAAGGTAGGACAGACTCTACTAATGGTGTGTCAGTCCCTGCCAGGCCCTTTGGGTCATCAGGACACAGGTGATGCTGTTCCTGCTCTGGGATGGGTAGGAGGTTCTGCCAGGGGGTCCCTGCAGCAAGGCCACACTGCCAGGCTTTGATTTGGGGCCAGGCTGCAAGAAATTTGGGCATTATTAATTGTTTTTTAGGATTTGGATAACAGCCAAGGATCAATGGCTTAGGAGAAACATGGATGAGTTTGCACCAGGACACTGCGTGGCAAACACAGAACGATGGTGACATCACAGAAATACTGAGACAAGACCCAAAATACACATGATGGAGCATGGCTGTGTTCCCAGGTCCTTGGGAAAGGCAGAGGCAGTTCAGGGATACACTCCCTGTGCACTCACAAGATGGGAATCCCAAGGCAAGAGTCTGAGACAACGGTGGAAAATAAACCACCTTGAACTCCAGGAGGTGCTGGTGGCCTGCCTGGCTCTCATGCACAGGCTCCCTGTGAGGAAGCTCCCTCCTTTGAGATGTTCCTCCCTTTTCCAAGGACCATGATCCATTTCAGTCTCCCCAGCCAGTTTCCAAACATGCTGGAGGAGCACTCCAAAGCACAAGAGTGAAGCTCTTGCCTTTGAGACTGGAGCTGTTGCTCCAGAGGCTCAGAAGGTGGATCAGGTGAGTGCAGGCTGAGCAGCTCCACACAAAGGGTTTGTGAGAATCAGGGCAGCAGGGACAGATGAGGATCCCAGGGACCTGCTGGGATCAGGAGCCTGTGGAGTCAGGCAGGAGAACCAGCCCCTGTCCAGGGGAAAATCACTCGAGGTGGGTATGGAGAGGAATTTCCCCTGAATGCCTTGCTGCATGTGTAGGACTCAGGGATGCAGAAGAAGAGCATTTTGGGTTTATGCAGGGCTCATTATGGGATATTCATGGGAACTAGCAAAGGCAGGGAAAGGGAGGGACCAAGGAACACTTGGGGAGGAAATAAAGGCCTAGAAACACAACTCTTCTGTAGCATTCCCCTAAGCAGTCAGGAACCTGAGAGCTCCTCCTCATGTCTGAAATGTGAACAACATTAACAGGCACTGACACGGATAGAGAAGTTCCTTACAAAACATCCTGATAGTTTTAAAAAACAGTTCAACGTCTCTTCTAGTAAATGTAGAACAGATTTGAAGCAAGTTCCAAATTTCCAACACCCATCCTTATCCCCTCAGCTGAGTCCAGCACTGATCATTTCCTGACTATCAATAAAGTAAGTTAAAGCACAGATGCAAAGAGCAACACGTACCAGTCTACGAATCTCCCTCTCGCACTCCCTCTTGATCCTGGTGATTTCCTCCTGGTGCAGGTGATACACACTCCTGATCTCCGCTGCTTTGATTTTGTCAGCTTGGATGACCATAGTTAGAGCCTCCTCCACTTGTTTCTTAGCCCCCTTCAGCTCGGAAATTTCCTGCTGCATTTTGATTTTCTCCACCTCGAAGCCCCTCTTGGCCTCCTCCTTGGCCTCCGAGAGCAGCACCGTTTTCACCTTGTCGGGACCCCCATCCCGCACGGCGTTGAGCAGGGTCTGCAGTCTCTGGATTTCATTGTCCTTGATTTTTATTACTCTGAGCAGCTCAGCTTCGTGCTGTCTCAGAAGTGCTTCTCGAACAGCTTGGAGCTCCTTCATTTTGTCCTCGTGCAGTTTGACTTTGAGCTCTGTGACCACCACGGTACTTTTATGCTGTTCGTGCTCCTTGATCTGCTTCACCTCCTGGTTTTTTTCTCTTTCCAACTTGCTGACCTGCAAGGAAAATCAGAAAGGACTCTACTGTCAATCAACAAAATGATTAGTACAAATCATTATATTACTTAAAAATTATACAGGTCACTTTATAACGTCAGAGTTCAGTGCTCTATCTCTGTGTCTACGCAGCAAAGCCCTATCACTGGAAACCAGCATAAACAGAAATATCTGCATATTTAGAAAAAGAAACCAAAATGTATCATTATCATTTTGGAAATTGTCGATACTGAGGCCGAAAGGCCAGGTACCAATGCTGATTTTAGCATCTTATTCTATCTTCAGAATTAAAAAATTATCCCTTGCAATCTTACAGGCTCTTTAATTCACCCAATCCAGTGCTCTAGAAAGCATGTGGTACAAAATATAAATGATTAGCACAAATTTATGCAAGAAAGAGAGAACCCAGGTGCCCAAACCACCAACATCCAAACACTGGAGGAAGTGTATGGTCACAAACTGGGCTGATGTGCGTATACCAGGTGCTACAAACAGATTAATGAGTGAGATAATACACATTTAGGAACCAGGCAGTATCTTGTGAGTAAGGCTGAGTCCTTACTTCAGTGTGCAGAAGCTCTCACACCACATCACCAAAGGAATACATGAGGAATCAGATGCCAAGCCAGCATTTTGGCTTGGCAGGCACACAGACCCAACCCGCACAGAGCACACGTGCACAGGGAAGATACGCAAATCTCCAGTGAAACCCCAAACAGCTGCATTTTACCAGATGCTTTCTCAGCAAAGAGTTATATTCAGTGCAAATAACTGACTGTACCTGAGCACACAGGGCTCAGATGATGTTTCAATTTAAAACCATGACATAAACTCTAAAGAAGCCGTGACTGGAAGTGGTGGGGTAGAACAGAGAGAAGGAAAAGAGAGTCCTCAGCCTTAAAACTGCCAACGCTGCTTCACATCAAAACGATTAACAGATCTTCTGTTTTGATATCATATATATATATGTTGGATTCATATTCTACAGTGCCTCATAATCATGCAAATGTATAAGGCAGCCATGAGTGGGGCAGAGAGCGGTCAGAAATAACAGAAATACGCTGAATTTGCCGGTGGAAGGAAAGGGAAGCTGCACACCTTACTCTTTTCCTGCTGGAGCTCTATCTGGATGTCAGTGAGCTTGGCCCTGAGCTCCTCATTGGCAGCCTGCAGGGCGGCCAAGGCGTCCGGCTTGTCCCCCCTGGCCCGGCTGCTGGAGCCCCTCTTGGACATGGTGAGGCTGTGGCAGGGAGAGAAATCCTGCCTGGAGCCCCTGGCCCAGCACTCGCTCCGGCTCCTGCGCCTCCCGCCGGAACACTACATCTTCCTGTGCCTGGAAAAGGGAGAGCACGGTCACACAGCACCCCCAGAGAGGGGTGGGCAGGGACAGGACACCACCACACACACAAGGCACTTCTACATGCATGGGGGACAGGGCAGCCAGCTGAAGGGGCTCTTCCCTGCACTCAGTATGGAATCACAGGTTTGTTCAGGTTGGAAAAGCCTTCTGAGCCCATCAAGGCCAACCATTGCCCCAGCACTGCCAAGGCCATCACTAACCTGTGTCCCCAAGTGCCACATCCACATGGCTTTTAAATCCCTCCAGGGATGGGGACTCCATCACTGCCCTGGACAGCTATGCTAAGGCTGGACAAACCTTCTGGTGATGGAATTTTCCCCAATATCCAACCTAAACCTGCCCTGGTGCAACTTGATGTGATTTCCTCTTATCCTGTCACTTGTTACCTTGGAGAAGAGCCCAACCCCTACACCCTCCTGTCAGCGAGTGTCTCATCCCTTCATCTGCACTGGAATTCACACAGTGCAAAGGATCTGGAATGCTCATGAGGGATGTCCACACACCATCCCCTGGCACCATCAAGGCCTGGAGACAGCAACCCCTGGGAAAACTATTTTCATAGAACCATAAAACCACGGAATCACAGAATCATTATATTACAGAACTCCACAGAAATAGAAGCTCAAATTTGGGAGAATGTTTCCAACCTTTTTTATACTAATCTTGTTAATGTAGATAACGATTTCCTTGGGACGATGACCTTCAGTGCTTTGGTTTATTCCTCATGACTCATGGTCAAAACCACTGTCTGAGCACGAGTGAAGGGGCTCCACAGGTCAGGGCAGCTGTAATGAGAAAATAACAATCAGTGGTAAGAGTGAAATAGCAACTACTTAATAACAGCACCAAAACAGAATAATAAAAACAGCAGCAACAACAACAACACCACCACACTGATTTGAATTCTAAGAGCAAAATCCTGAATCTATAATGGAGAAAAGAGCCAAGGAAGGGCGCTGCTCCAGGGATATATAAACAGGATACAGAGCTGGGGGAAGGCTGAGAGCATCTGGGAGAGGGGCTGGAGTTTGGGAGGGACAGGGCAAAGCTGCTGAGAACTGGAAAAATCACATAGGACAGACAGTTAACCCTGCTGGGTCAGAGGGACAGTGGGAAAGCTGAGACTTAAGAGAAACAAGTAAGAAAATAAAATAACATTCCTGATATTAATTGTCCAAATCAAAGTGGCACAGTCCCAGTTCTGCTGCTTCTCAGGCTGATACCTGACTTTGTAGCCTAGAAGTGTCTATAAAAAGAAACGCGTTTGGTTGGGCAAAGAAATAGAAATAAATTAAATTTTAAAGATATTGCCTGAAAAACCTGTAACAGGAGCAGATGTTCTTTGCATTTAAGATTCTTGCTGCTTTGTGGAAGCAGACACAACGCACCAGTGATCTACAATGGAGCTTTAAACCCTCTTTCTTTATTGATATAAAAATGGGGCAGCCTATAGCCACAGGCACAGGGCTCTACCTGCTGTGAAGAGTGAGGCCTTTGTGCACTTTACAATTCTTTCCTTCAGTGATCTCCTGTAATGGCAGAGGCAGTGGCGAGCCAGGTTGTCTCACAACCTGAGGAAACGAGCAGCGCACTACGAGCTTTAACTGCTTCCACTTGAATGGCAGACAAATCACAATTTGAATGGTACAGGGATTTGTGAGAGTAATTGCAATCAGGATTCCTTTTGACAGACAAGGGCTATGAGAATTTCTGCTTGCTTGCTTACAGAGAATAAAACTGAGGAACTGATACTGTGGAGCACAGTTCACTGGGTGGGAATCCTGTCTGAGATTGATTTGTAGAACCACATGTCCTCTCACTTCCAGTTTTTAAGCTTTTTAATTTTGTTTAAATGTTACCAAGGCCTAATTGCATGAGTTGGTACAGTTCATGTCAAGCAGCTGCCTAAACCTGATTCTTCTCTACTGAAAGACAAAGTGTAGAAGTGGCTGGCTTATTTCAAAGAAGAAAGGTTTGTACAGCCCTGTTTGCTCCAAGCAGGTCCCCAAAACCTTTAAAGAAGAAATGAAATATTATCAAGAAGGTCACAGAATCCCAGACTGGTTTGGGTTGGAAGGGATCTTAAAGCTCATCCAGTCCCACTCCCTGCCACGGGTAGGGACACCTTCCACTATCCCAGGCTGCTCCAAGCTCCGTCCAACCTGGCCTTGGGCACTTCCAGGGATCGGGCAGCCACAGCTTCTCTGGAGAACCAATGTTGGAAACATCTTCCAGACTTGAAATGCTGAAGCCTTAATGAGATTTCCCAGAGAACTCAGGACATTCTGTGATTCTGCAGTTTACACGGTCTGGAGTCTTTGGTCCATTTAATGCTCAGAGCGTTGTTATTCCCAGGGATAATAATGCAGAACTGGACTGGACAGAGTCAGACGGCTTCTAGTACCACCCAGGGCCTTCTGTGTGTGCAGTGGGACAAGTGTCATTGTTGGGCACCACGACAGTCACCGTTTGTACTCCCAGCAGTGCCGGCCCCATGGCCCAGAGCAGCCGTGTCTGCCGGGGATGCCCCACGCGGAAGAGCCATCAGAGACTGCTGCACAAATGCCAGCCTTAAAACAACATTTCTGCCAAATGCTGGGAGGAAAACATGCCACAAAAACATTTCTGAGCCACCATCGCTGTGCTGATACGTGTGTGCAGCGAGGAGGTGGTTTATCAGGGAACACAAACCCGCTGCTCCCTGGTTGCTCGGGCTCTGCTCTGGCTCCAGGTGGCACACAGGGAGCGCAGGAGGCCAAGGGACCAAAACTGAGCCCAGATCCTCAACAAGCCCAGTCCCTACAGGGAACAGAGCAGCTCCCTGGGACTCCTCACCACAGCACTGGGTAGAGGAGTCATTCCCTGGTAAAAGTCACTTGCCTTTGGATGTTTCCCCTATTTTTCCAGTGAGTTATATAGAATGGGCATCCATCAGACACATCACCTTAATAGAACAGAAAGGTCCTCATATTTTTGATTCTGGGAGAATAGATCATGCATCTTCTTCCTGGCATGTTTGATATTGAAAACAGCATCAATAATGCATCAGAGCTACCTTGAGCTGGGCTCAGAGTTCCCTTTGCCTCCTGACTTGTAATTCAAACATCAAGGCTAATTGGAAAATGTGTTTTCTAGGTAGCAGTTTCTGAAATCAATGTTTCACTGCACCTTAACAATAAATGAATACATCCCTACCCAGGGTACCAATATTTTAAACAAAACACAGCTTAAGCAGCACGCTGTTCTTACAAACACTGCACATTTCCAGTGTCTGCCACAGCCTCTGAGCACTGGTGTTCTCTATTTTTGACAAATTGTTCTAATTAATTAGTTTAGACAAACCTTGTTGAGCCTCTGGTGCACCTCAAAATATTATGATAGAAAGAAAATGTAATACTGTCTATGGGTGAGTTCCCACTTCCTCCTATGAGTAATCTCCATGTTCCATTTAGGATTGCAGCAGCCTGTAGATCCGAATGCAAGAAAAATGAGTTTTCCTCTGGAAAGGAATTTCATGCTAAGCCAATGCAATCACCTTCAGTGCTGCATTTGTGCCTTGGGGGTTTTTTTTGTACAAACATTTGTCACAAATAGCGTTTCATTCCCTCAGCAGCAACATAAGAAGAAAACTTGTTGGAAATTACATGGAAAACAGAGTAAACTGGTAGCTGAGATCAAGAAACAACTGCCAAGGCCTGTATTGTCCTGTACTCATGGTTATGTTGTGTATTTCCTGCACAAAAAGACTCAAAGAATCCCAGTATCACTGAGGTTGGAAAAGCCCTCCCAGCCCATCAAACCCACCCCGTGCTCAATCCTCACCTTGTCACCCCACCCAGAGCACTGAGGGCCACGTCCAGACCTTCCTTGGACACCTCCAGGGATGGGGACTCCACCACTACCCTGGGCAGCCCCTTCCAATGCCTGAACACCCTTTCCAGGAAGAAATTCCTCCTCATGTCCAACCTGAACCATCTCTGGCACAGCTTGAGGCCATTTCCTCTCATCCTGTCCCTTGTTCCCTGGGAGCAGAGCCCGACCATCCCCGGCTCCCCACTCCTTTCAGGGAGTTGAAGGGAGCAAGAAGGTCCCCCCAAGCCTCCTTTTCTCCAAGCTGAGCCTCCCCAGCTCCCTCAGCCACTCCTGTTACTCCACACCCTTCCCCAACTCCACTCCCTTCCCTGGACCATCCCATAAGGATTTTTTGTTTCTGCTGTTTAATGATCGAATTGAGACCAGTTTGATAAAACCCTGCTTTTTTAAAAAAATACAATCAATGTTGGTAACTCAACCCAGATTCCAAAGAGCCATATCTGACTTGTTCATGCTTTTACTGGGAAAGGTTCAGGCTCCCCACACTGCAAGGGTAACATACTCCATTACCCTCAGTCAGCTGCTTTAAAGCAAATCTCCATTTCCATAAGGAAAAAAACAACCAACCAACATTTCCCAGTCTGAAATAAGCTCTGAAACCTATCCTTGATGAAATATGTGCTTTAAATTAAAAACAATGCCCCTCTCCCCCCCAAACCCTGACAACCAGCGCTGAGCCCTTGCAGATGGAAGTCTAGCCAAAGTTCTGCCGAGGATTAGATCAATTCCAGCAGCAGCTGTAACAGACACATGTCAAATCCTGACTGACCTGAATTTTTCCTCAAAGATTAATCCTTCAACCGTTGTTGGCTTTAACTCCTTGATGGGTGAATCATATTTACAAACCCTGAGCAAAACCCTGACGTTCACGACATCTACATTTGTAGTTCACACAGGCTCCTCTCTGCAGGCTCACCTTGTGTCTGTAGTTTCCACACATGGGTCTAAATCCCATCCTCTGATTTTTCAGCATAAGTTTTACAAAGCTTTTTGGTTTGTTGGTGTTCTTGGTTGGTTGTTTGGTTTTGTTTGTGGTTTTGTTTGTTTGGTTTGGGGTTTTGTTGGTTTTTTATGGAAACAATTGGGTGTCAATTATGCAACTAATTAACAGTTTATAGAGAATGGCTGGAGCTGGGTCAGGGCAGGGTTAGGGTGGATCTCAGGAAAAGGTTCTTCCCCCAGAGGGTGGTCGGGCACTGAACAGGCTCCCCAGGGCAGTGGGCACGGCCCCAAACTGACAGAGCTCCAGGAGTGTTTGGACGAGGCTCCCAGGGACAGGGTGGGACGGTTGGGGTGTCCTGGACAGGGTGGGATTGTTGGGGTGTCCTGTGCAGGGCCAGAAGTTGGGCTGGATTGTCCTTGTGGGTCCCTCCCAGCTCAGGAGATTCTATGAATTCCAGTACTGACAGACACAATTGCTGATAAATCCCAGCAGGTACATTTTAAAGCACGACACCTGTTTAATTTTACATCTCCTATAGCTAATTTGCAGAAAGAGATATAATTAATTAAGAACACAGGCGAGTATGTAGGAAGCTCATTTTTCTTTTTGCTCAGATAATCCCCAACACTTAAGGTACAAAAATCCATTGGAGTTATTGCAGTAACACTGCAATAGCACACCTATCCAAATTCTCTGTTAAAATGGAGCAGCTCAGCATAATTCTAGTGCTTTGGGGAGGATTATTAGTGAGGAATACATTTCAGACTAATGCCATCAGTTTAATATTGTGTCACTCTGTTATCTTGCTCTCAAACAAACTGTTAGAGCAATGCCATCCCTTTTCCCAAGGAATTCATGCCTGTATAATTAACTAAATCAACTGTAACACAGATGGCATCGCACCATCCAAAAGCACTTGATGGAAACATTTTAAGCATGTTATTAACATCCCTAAATAACTATTTAATGCTACCTCTCCAACCCTCTTCGGCACCAACATGCAACACAGCTGGATTTGAGGGTGGAAAAGGCAGTATTTAACCGCTACACTCTTATAAAAGATTTTCAATTCTCGGATTTATTCAATTTATAAATGAGCTTGAAAATAACAGACTAGACAGTGGCAACAAAAACATTGTGGTTTAGATTTCAGAATTAAGATTAATTTCCAGACTGACTCACCATCATCAGATTCAGCTGTGAGGAACTGGGCAGAAGGGAAAGACTGATGTGAGGAGGAACCTTTCTTTAGGCTGGCCATGGCTATCTAAAAATTACATGTCTATTTGACAATGTGTTTTATGTCTCAGTAGGTGTGTGCCCAGCTCTAAACCAAGAATAAAAACTTACAGTTCACAGCAACAGACAAGATTTTGAAAGGAAAGTCCATTAATCTCCCAAATGCAAACAGCTGCTAATTGTCAGATGCCCATCAGGCTCTGGTGAAAAGCTGCTCCTTCAGTCCCAAAAACTGAGAATCCGATTATTTCAAACCTGATTTTTCGTTACTAAATATCCTAATTTAAATAACCTTTTCTTGACAGTTGCTGTGACAAAAATAGCAAACACGCCTCCTGCCTCACAAACGTAAATAAGCATAATAATGAACATAAATAAACATAAATACTGATTTAGAAAGAAAGCAAGAATATGCTCAGAGTACCAGACTGGCTGGAGGTCAGTTGTGAGGGGAGTGGACTCGGTAGGTGGTAGCGCTGGGGATTAACACCATTCCTCTCCCACCAACATCTGCTGGGCCAGGGCAGGCCTCGGGGGGCTGGAGAGCCAAAATCTCATGGAATCAGGTGTGAGCCCTGCAGCGTGGCCTCAGCTGGGAAAATGGTCCCTGGGGAAGACCAACAGAGCTTTAGTTACATCCTGGTGGCAGGGAGATCTTTTGCATTAGAACAAGTGAGACACAACGTGCTGCTCTCACCTGGTCCAGCTTCTGGCAGGAACACTCTTACAGAAGGTAAAGGGACAGATCCAAAGTAGAGATAGCAAAGGAGTTCAGAACAGAAAGGCTCTTAAAATGGGATGGGAAAGCCACAGCTTCTCTGGGCAACCTGGGCCAGGGCCTCTCCACCCTTACAGGGAAGATTTCCTGCAATATCCCACCTAACCCTGCCCTCTGGCAGTGGGAAGCCATTCCCCCTTGTCCCATTTTCATGCCTTTGTGGAAAGTCCCTCCCCTGCCTTCTTGCAAACCCCCTCTCAGGTACTGGTTAAGTACACATTTACAACTACACACAAAAGATCCACTATGAAAATGCTTTTAAAACAAAAACAGTCCCTGGAAGATGACTGAACAAAATCCCAAAATCAAACTGTCCCTTCCAGACGACGAACGAGAAGCCCTAACCAAAGCTCGTGTTTCCCAAAGGAGAGGCAGAGCAATAGGTGGGAAGGAAAAGGCTGAAGGCACATGGGAAAGCTGTCCCTGAGGAGTGAGAAAGACTGGTGTGACATGAGCCAGGTCCTGTGCCTGGGGGGTGACCGAGGCAGGGCCATGCCAGGGACACAAAGGTGGCTCAGAGCTGCTGCCCTTGGGGAGGTGAGCTCTGCCAGGGTTGGGGGGAGCACTGACCAGATGTGCACAGCCCAGGAGTTCAGAGCTATAATCTGATTTGATAAAGCTGATTTCATTTGAGATGCTGCATCAGCCTTTAGAGTCAATTTGCCTGGCATGTGGATACTATTTCCCTGCACTTTCACAGAATGGATCAGTAAGAGGGTTTAAGGCAAACACAGAGCCAAGCGGAATATTTTAGGCCTTTAGGGGAAATAAAAGAGAAAGGGCTGTTTCAATCTCACTTTAACATTTAAAATCAAAGGATGCCGGGTTCAAAAGGTTGCCCAGAGAAGCTGTGGCTGCCCCCTACCTGGAAGTGTCCAAGGTCAGGTTGGATGGGGCTTGGAGAAACCTGGGCTAGTGGAAGGTGTCCCTGCTCATGGCAGGGGGTGGGACTGGATTGTCTTGAAGATCCCTTCCAACCCAAACCATCCCATGATTCTGTGATTCCATGATCCATTCCTCTGGGAAAACTTTATTTTCAACACAAGAGCTCCATAACTTTTTTTCTCATCTAGACTAATAACAAGAAGATTTCCATGGAGAATTACAGTCAGTTTGTGCACATCATTGCATTCAAGATATATCTTGAATATTCCAGTCACTAACAAACCCTACATGTACTGACCCTCCCAATGCTACACTAAATGCAATAAGCTTCACATTTGAACACGAACATAATGGAAATAATTTTTTTAACTATAAAAATAATTGCAATGAGCAACTCAAAGATGGACCATGCAAACTATGTGTGTATTTGAGGAGTAAATTAATAGAAGTTACACGATGCTCTAGAGCCACCTGCTACCAAGAATGACCTACCAAGGGCCAAGAATGACAACACCAGGACAAGCTGGTGCTCACAGAGCTGAATTTTGGGTCAGTTTGCTGGTTCTGCTGAGGGACACAACTGGGGCAATCTCAGGATGTGTAAGTGTATGGAAAAGTCTCTCATTTATCTTTTGAAGGGGAAAGAAAAGGGAAAAGCATAAAAAGAAAGGGGGAAAGGGGAACCTCAGCAGCTGCCTCTGCTTGTGCTCCCTATTGGGTCACCAAAATTGACTTGCTGGAGTTCACGTCTGAGGCCAAGTCCCTCATTCCCGAATGACATCTCCTGGCTGATGCCTCCTCTCCAGAGAACCCATCCTGTGCAGTTATCTCACTCTCAAGGACCTGTGCAGATGATCAGGAAAAGTGCTTGGCCTTGCTTTTCGTAATGAAATATGCTGTAAAAAGTAACTGGGGAAACATTCCCTCCAACATCCCCATTGACAGGCAGGAGAAGCTCCAGAGGAGGTCTTTCCTAGCCACTGGGTTAGTGTGGCAGCTGGGTAATCTGGGATTTGAGTTCTGGATTCTCCAATCTTTTAGCCTTCTGCACTCACTCCTTCAGGGAAAGTAGCTTCTTACACGGGTCGCAGGGCGCTGATCCTCAGCTAAGAGGATGTGTCCATCTGGCTCCTGACTTTCTGGCTGATCATTGCTCTTGGAGCAGGAACACCGGGTTCTGCCTGCAGTCAGGATGCCCGAGGGCAGCAGAAATGCTTCCTGCTGGGATCTGAGTCCCACCAGCTCCTGCCATCACAGCCAGGCACGTTCTCCAGGGCAGCAAGGGTGGAACTGTGGGACTGCGAAGCTCTGGGAGTCTGGAGAGGGTCAGGATGAGGAACAGCAACAGCTGTGGCTGCTCTGCTCTGGGGGAACCAGAGTTTGTGAGTTTTAACAATAAAAATATGCAAATTCATATGGCTCATTAAAGGCACCAGAGAAACCCATGCCCAGGACACCCTGCTGGTGCTCTGGACAGACAGTGACCCACCAGGCAGAGGGGTGTGGAAATGTGACCTGTGTGTGGGGCAGCAGAGGCATCTTGATGGATCCTGGCACTGCAGTGGGTGAGGGACGTGAGACCAGAAATCGGGATCTCAGCTTCGCAGGCACACGCAGGGTTGGACACGTCCACAACAAACTGCTCAAGAGTCACGGAATCACAGAATAAATATCCTGAGCTGCAAGGGACCCACAGGGACCATCGGGTCCAACTCCTGGCCCTGCTCAGGACATCCCAACAACCCCACCCTGTGCCTGTGTGAAGGCTGAGTAATGTGGTGTGTGAAAACATGAGTCACAGATGGGGAATCAAAACAAAGGAGGACTTACTACTACAAGGAGGAGTTACTACTACAAGGAGGAGTTACTACTACAAGGAGGAGATTCCCAGCTGGGAGCTCCAAGGCCCAGGGCTGGCACTGTTTGATATTCTGGTGACCTGGTAAAGAGTAAAGGGCAGGACACAAAAACCTGCTGATAGTAGGGGATTATGTAGGTCAATCAAGAGGAGAGAGGACTACAAAGCAAGCAAAAGGAAGAAAAAAAACCAACAATAACCTCAAACCAGAAAAAAATAGGTAACTAAGCAACATGAAATTCAATCCAGGAAAGTACAAGATAATCTATATTTAAAAATACAATTTGACATATCCTGCACACAGAGATTTAGGAGGAAAGATCAAGTCATCACTGAGGACATCTGTTGTGCCCACAGCGAGGTAAATAAGGTATTATAATGGCACGAGACTGGAAACAGGGTGAAAAGCATTATGATGCTACAGAAAGGTAAGTAGTAGGTACTCATTAATCCATTCATCTAAAAGAAACATAACAGGTGTGACCAGGTAATAAAAGATGAAGGATCTGTGATTTTTTTTTTTTTTTTTGGAAGAGACACTGCACAGGCAGTTATAAAATGATTGATAGGGTGTAGGCAAAAACAATGTTTCAGTTACTTTTCACACTAATGCAAGAAACCACCCTGGGGGCACTTGGCAGGAAGTGATTTTTTCAGTGGAAAGATGAATCTTCCACCTTGGATCACACACGACAAACCCTAGGGGCACTTCTGCTGCTCCTAGGGTCAGCCCACCACAGCCAAATACAACAGGGTGGGAAAAGGATAGTGCTGTGAGTCCCCAGGTACTGGTGACAGAGACAGGGCCAACCCAGCCCCAATACCACCATCACAGCACTTCCCTCCCAGCCCAAACCATTCCATGATTCCATGAATGGGTAGGGTGAGGCCAGGTGTTAGGACTGAAACACTGAGGCGTCTTGGCCCTTCCATTTCAGGAGAATATTTGCCCTTCTTGTTTACTTCTTTTATTTCTATATTGAAGTCACAGTTTCTTCTCTCACCTTGCTTTGTGCAGTGGAATGGGACATCCCAGTGAGACAGCCTGGGATGAGGGCAAGAGGTCAGGAGGAGAAGCCCCAGATGAATTCCTCAGGATGAGAGGAAACAGCCCAAAGTTGCATCAGGGGAGGTTTAGGCTGGACATTAGGTAAAATTTCATCATGGGAAGGGTTGTCCAGCCCTACCACAGGCTGGAGTCCCCATCGCTGGAAGTGTTCAAAAAGTGTGGATGTTGCACCTGGGGACAGGATTATGATGAACATGATGGTCATGTGGGTTGATGATTGGTCTTGACGACCTTGGAAGGCCTTTTCCAACCTTAACAACTCTTGTTATTTTGATTCCATGATTCTGCTCCATCCCTCAGGGACGGCAACTCAGGGCACATTGCCCTGTGCAGTGGTCAGACAGGCTGAGCTGGGCTGATCACCCACAGCTCAGCAACATCACAGCCCCTAAACACACTGCCAGGCTTTTCTAACACTTTAAAAATCTATTCAAAAGTACATGGAAAATATCCACACAGTCATAGCTACTTCAGATTTGCTTTAAAAAACAAATCTGCAATTTAAACGACCACGAATACATTTGCAATAGCAGCACAAGAGCATTTTTCTGTCTAGATAACACACATCCTGGCAGCATTTCAACAGAACCAGAATTACTTTCAAGTGTCAAGTGCTACATTTTAATGGTGTTCAGCAAATGCTCCCGTGTCTCTGTTCCACCTGCAGCCTCCCTGCTGTAAGGGAACCCACCTGGCTTTCCTTCATCAATCCCAAATCACTCCTCCCTCTATAAACTCCCCTGGATTTGACACCCAGTTCTGTGGACTTGAGGAGATGAAAAGGCTTTGGAAAGCAAATAACCTGAACCACTGAAACACGGTGCAGAGGTACAAACAAAGCTGCTCAACTCCACAGTGGAGAGCCTGGAACAGCCCCAGGTCATGGCTGCAGAGGGATTTATACAGGCAAGGACGGCGGGACAAGCTGGGAACAGGGAGAAAGGCTCCGATGGAGCATCAGCCGCGGCACTGCAGGTCGGGAAGCAAAGAGAGAACACCACAC